GAAATATTGATGAATACAATAACACGAAAAAATTACTACTCTTTCTTATCTCAATCTATACAACATATTTTTTAAGAATCTTATCTTAAAATTATCAGAAATAACTTAACTTTTAACGCATGAAATATAAATGAATTAAGTTTTGAATCATTTCTTATTCAACTCATTTTCATTTTTTTCTAATTTGATCCAATCCGTCCATTCACCACCTCTTGTATGAATGCATTGCTGATTTTTACTACTAAAGAATTCAAAACGTACAAGTGAATAAATTCTATTGTTACAAGTTATACAATTATAGCAAGTTAGTATTCTCTTCCTTCTTTTTTTCTTTTGGGACCAAGACATATAAGGACACATTGATTTTGACCAATCTCTGATTAATAAAATAGAGTACAAATTACACGTGCAAAAGGCCACTTTAGATTCCATGACCACAGCTATGTACAATGTATATGATCGTAATTTATATGACATTTTTCATTAATTTCAAACTTTATATCAAGTTTTTACGGACATATTTTATTATGATCATAAAAATGTCTAGGGCTACTAGTCACCTACTACAGGAAAATTAATCTAGATGCTTTTGGTATGCATCAAATCTTTCTCAAACATGTATTCCAGTCAAACACGATAGTATAAAGTGAAAATTGATGGAACGAACATTAAATTTGATTTACTCACCTCTAGAGCTTTAATTGAGTGTGTATGGACAAAAGAAAAAGTAATTAACTGCTTGTTTGTTAGTTGTGGCAAAACGTAATTTATAGTATACAACAATTTAAAAAGGATATATAGGGAGATTAATATACATTCAATATAAGTTTAACATGAGTGTGAATGATGTTATTTCCCTATCACAATATTTGAGTGTTAATTAATTAATGACAATAGCTTAATTATCGCAAAATAATACTATAGTATATATTTTTAGTGGCAATTAACACTCTTTTGTAAATGGCCCTAAAACCTATAACGATATTGGATTCAATGGCAAATAACTAATGTCAGTAAAGACTTTAGCAGTACTCTTTATTAATATGTATACTAGTACTTTATTAATATGTATACTTATTGCCGCTAAAAATTATTTTTGTTATAGTGTGCGATAAACTAAACACATGATCGACTTACTTTTAGTTGTGTTAATCGGTAATGCTTTCATTAATTATTATATAAGAGAATCACAGGTCTCTCTCTCTACCTTTGATATATAGAGACTGTTTCAACAATAACAACAAAACATCTAGTGTAATTTCCTCTAGAGTTTGAATAGGGTGGTATATATTATATACGATTATTTATATCTATTATGAAGATAGAAAAGAATCCATGTCCGAAACAATTAGAAGACAATGGAAATAACGAGTAATGCTAAAATTGAAGAGTAAGATAACAAATATATTAGCAGAATATAGAAGGAAGACTATGGATCCAAATATGTCTATGAACAAGTTATTTGTTTTTGAAGCATCTCTTTCTTTTATATCAAAAGCTCTCGAAAGAGATGCGAATGGAATTGTATCGCTTAGATCAGTTCCTTTTTATATGGATGAACCTACTATTTAATAAATAAAATCCTTCTAGTTCTGAAGCAAAAAATAAATAAATAATATAGTAGCTATAGAAAATAAGGGAATTAGACAATGCTCGACTACCTACTAATATTCTACCCAATATTCGTGACAGACATATCTTCGGATTTGGCTCATCTCCATTACACTTTCTCTCAATTTTCTCAAATATACATTTAGATGAATAACACTCGTCTAATATAATTTTTAAAGGTCAAGATTAAATTAATTTAACAAGCATCTTAACTAGGATTAAAATACTAAATTTGGAAACCATTTTTTAATTATAGTATGCGATATCAGAGGGTGTTTGGATTGATTTAAAAGTTGGTCAAACCTACTTTTGGTCAGTTTTTGATTTCTGAAAGTGTTTGACGATATAAAAATAACTTAAAATAAGTCAAAAAAATAACTTAAATTAAGTTAGGAATTGTTTGACAAGATTAAAAATAACTTAAAATAAGTTAAAAACCAAAAGTAGGTCTCCCCCTATTTATTTATTTTTTTGACTAAAAGTTATTTAAGTTTAACTTTTTATTTTTTATTTTAAAGCTATTTTTTTAAGCCGATCCAAACGGGCTCTCAATCTTCTCACATATTTTGATACTCATTAATTTCAATTTATAAATTTCATCAGTAAACTTTCCTACACCCCCACCCCCACCCCCTCCCTAAACCAGTATAAATAAGAAAAACGTTTTGCGATCATAAATTTTAGGAAATTGATTTTAAAATTAGTCTGAAAATTGAATTGAAGAAAACATATGAGGGAAGTAACTCTTGAAAGTGAAATAATAGTTCTAATTTTTAATTGACTTATAAAAGTAAACAAGAGTATTGAAATTATCCGCGACAGTATTTACATTCATTCTCTTCCATTTAATTTAATTTAGCTAAGATGGAGAATATATGAAAGAAAGAAAAAAAAAAAAGGAAGGAAAGTACCGTGATAGTAAATATAAATTCGATGCTATTAAATAGTTAATTTTTGTTAACATATTAACAAATTTGAATTTGTTTTATCGATGTAAAATTTACAAATTGGAATTAATGAGTATCAAAATATGTGGGGGAGATTGATATTGCATATTATAATTATAAAGTGGTTTGCAAATTTAATATTTTAATTATAGTTAGGATGCTTGTTAAATTAATCTAATCTTGACCTTTAAAAATTATATTAGACAAGTGTCACTTATCTAAATATGTACTTGAGGAAATGGAGAGGAGCCGAATCCCATATCTTCCTATCATGCATGTTCTCGATAAGTTGCATGTATATGTGCTATGTTCTGTCCGAGATCTTTGTGGTCTACCTCTATATTTTCTTATAACCACTATAGTCAACCTCTCACATCTCTTCATTAAAATATCTATGCATCTTCTCTTCACATTTCAATGTCGCCTTCCTCATATCTTGTCGACCATGGAGCTAGGCCACTCCCACCTTAACGAGAACACTAATTACTAACTGTTTTCTGAATAGGATAAAAGTTAATTAGCACTCAACATACGTTGGTGTTATATTTAACTAGTACTTGATATAATTGGGAAACCAAGAAACTAATTAAATAGACGAGATAAGATATGTTGGAGCCTAAGGCAATCTAAGTTATATTATTTGTTAAAAAATTAGATGGAATGGCTGGCAAGTATATTTTTTAATTAGACAAGCGTGAAGGTTTTTTGCCATAACCTTAGTTTGATAATTAATTTTAGGCCAAACACATATACAACCCCTTTAATTTATCCATATTTTTCATTTTGACACTTTATCATAGCCTTGTTCCATTTTAACCCTTAAATTCCATTTTTTATGTAACATTTTAACACGAAATACTATTTTAATGATTTCTTTATTTTTATATATATTCTTCAATTGCAACTTCTTATTTTAAATCGACATGTGTCAATTAATTTAGTTAAAAAATTAAAAATTAACAAAAAATAATTCTTTTTAAAAAATAATAATTTCTTTTACGAGTGTTAGGTATTTTTGTGTGAAAAATAACCGACGAAATTGTGTTGGTTTTCTTTCTTAAAAATCACCGACAACCTAACAAAGTCAGTCGAGTTTTAACATTTTTTGGTAGTGTTATTAGCAATGAACAAAAGTCTTTTTTTACTCGTATTAAAGATGGGTTTTTGTTATTCGTATTGATTTATATTAAAAATTAAAAGTGAGTATTTCCGTAAAATTTGGATAGCCTAGATGATAAGAAAAAATAAATAAGTAGTGTTATTTAATTTAATTGAATGTTTAAGAAAGAAAATCAAAGGAATTTCGTCAATTTATTTTCATGTAAAAATACAAAGAAATCTCAAAAAATAATATTATTGTTTGAAACTTTTTATGTTCATTCGCGAATGTTTAATTTTCTTACGAAAATTAACAGGCACACGTTTATTTTTTTAAAATAAGAATTGGCAATTGAAGAACATAAATAAAAATAAAAATAAAAAATTAGTATTAGTGTTTAAACGGTACAAAAAAATGGAGTTTAAGGATTAAAATAGAATAAGGCTAAGTTGGAGTGCCAAAATGGAAAATGAGGGAAAGTTTGAGGGATTGTGTATGTGTTTGGCATTAATTTTAATGGTAGAAATGGAAATATGAAGTCCAATAAGAAAGACAAAAAATATATAGTAGCTAGCCAGGACATTTTGGTGTCATTTCACTTGGGAACAAACGCACATGCATCCTCCAATAATTCTTATCCTTTTTTCGCACACAAGTCCAACCATACCGTGTAGAATATAATTTGTAGCTACCAAAAATATATCCATCATTAACAAATATTTTCAATAATATTACAACTTATTATCTCCCCTCTTTCTTTATACTTTTTTCATTCTTAAACCATCAACAAAAGAACCATATATATATATGCCTCTATTTGTAATATTTTACTTAGTAACTTTCTCTATAAATTATTAGTGTTTGGCTCAAATTAAGAATATGGGTGCTTAAGCAATAGTTATAATCAATTCAACTTATTCTTTATCATTTGAATTATTCTAATATAATACTAATATTATTCTAATTCTGAGCTTGACTCTTACCTTCAGAATTTGTCTCTCCCGGACATAAATATACATATTAATAAAGAGTAATAAAATATTTGCTAGTATTAATTAGTTAATTGTCGTTGGAGGCAATGTTGCTATAAGCTTTAGGACATTTACAAAGAGTGTTAATTGCCTCTAAAAAAACATACTCAGCAGTCAGCGGCAATTAAACTATTGTCGTTAAAGATCATTTTTGGTGTTAGCGAAAAACGTCTTCCCATTCGAAAGAAGATAAAAAGGGAAAGCAAAAGGCAGTAACTGCTTGCCCAAATTTGTTCTTGTAGGATCAATTCGGAGAAGAAAGATATTGTAGGGGTAGATTTGAAAAGAAATTAGAGTATTATAGTGCGTAGATGATTAAACTGAGCTTCAATATATTGTAAACACTAATCATGGAATATTGGAATTAATTCTAACATTTAAGGTAACTAAATATTTCTCTTTTCTATTTACAATTGGAAACAAAATCGTAAACAGCCCTTTTCGAGCTTGAAGGTTTATATAACTTGAATTTCTCTTCTCATCTCTCCTAAACTCGGGATTTAATTTCGAATCGATGCAACTCTTTGTCATTCTTCTAATAGACCTTGCAATGTTTTCTTGTTATCTGTTATATTTTCTTCAATGTGTCCTTCTTTGTACTTGGATTTGCTGTACTTGAGCCAAGAATCTTTCGGAAACATCCTCTCTATCTTCTCGAGAGTAGTGGTAAGTTTTGCATACCTTCTACCCTCCCCAGACCCAACGTTGTTGTTGTTGGAACTCTTTGTCATTCTTGGATTGAATTGGACTCCGGCCTTGGCCCTTTTGCTAGATTTTTCATCATTGTGGCTCAATTATTTCTATTTGGGATTATCAATCATGCCAACAAAGAAGCATGACTACACATCTTCTCATTATGTAAAGCCTCCCTCTTTGCTCCTTAAGAAACTTTCCAAGTCTTCTACTTGACATTTTCTTCTTTGAGCTCTCATCATGACTTGCACCACCAACATTGTTCATCTTCATTTCTATTGCCAATTTAATTCTTTGAAATCAAGGTATAGTGTGTTGTGTGAGACTGAGCAAAGTAGTAGTAGAATTAATGAAGTTGGATTTGAAGTGGGAAAAGGAGAAGGTATTTTCTTATATAGAGGATGAGTAATGTGTGTGGTCCAAATTAAAGCATGCAATATTTAACAAAAAGAAAGGACATTACCAAGAAACAGGGTCCCCC